AATTTTACAATGATATATTTTTGCAATGTTGTTGCAATATTTCTGTGCTGTATGGGAAATTGTATCGTGTGAGGTTTTTTTTTGTATTTCTGACTTTACTCCCATTGAAGGCGGTTTTTTATCGTTTATGTCTTATTGCTTACGTTTTTTGACGTGCCACTGATTTTGTCGACAAAGTTGAGCTAGGCTTTATTCATTCAAGACAATTTTCCTAATCTCAAAACGCGAAACGAAGATTAGCATATAAATGACGAAGGAGGCGATCAACGGTATTTCTTCGCAGCGAATAAACATAGCACATTGTGCTTTATCAGACGCCTCAGAACTTCGTTGATGATGATGCGGACCACTTGTCCATCTACTCCTTAATCCCTTCTGCTTGTTAACATCGCGCTATGCTCCGCTTGCGGAACATTGCCGGGGAGACAAAAAAGGGATCGTTAGCGCTTGTGGCTGTGAAATACGTGTTTCGAGCTTGAACTCTACGAGTATTTCAGATATACCATCCAACCTTTAATCCGATATAAAGTTTTTTTCAAAACCTTTTCCGCCGTCCTGTCGATAATCAGGAAACGAATAAGGATAATTTCACCGTTAACGTCATGGTTCTCAGATTCTTTCGAAACATCTATATCGCGAAATCGTCGATAATCGTCGATATTCGCAAAAGCAACAGGTTTAAAGAATAGATTTATGCACTGACGCGCGTCCCGTCGGTTAAACTTGTTAATGAGCGAGCGATCCGCGATATCACGTCATTACATGATGACATTACGCGAATTGTACAAGAGCGTCAAATTTCTTTTTCAGGTACATCCGCATGACGGACGGCGCGGTGGAAAAATAAAAAGAAAGAAGAAAGTAAGGGAGAATGTGTGAGAGAGAGAGAGAGAGAGAGAGAGAGAGAGAGAGAGAGAGAGAGAGAGAGAGAGAGAGAGAGAGGATCCGGCGCGGCCGTGAGACAGATGAGGGGTTGCGCGCGAGGGTGGATCGGTTGACACACTGGCGAGGCAATTATTATTGTGAGTGGTTGGCGACGGGACTCCGATGATATTTTATTTAAGAAACAATCGGGTAATAGCTCGCTTCAAGAGGATAGATAACGCCGCGAGCGCGAGGCAGCCAGAGAGGCCGGGGAAAAGTTGTGGGAGGATAGAGAGAACGAGCTACGAGAAAAGGGAATTACGAAGGACGAGCGAGGGGTCGGACGGGCTGGAGGCAGAAAGATGAGGGGAGGCAAAAGGTGAACTTTGAGATGGGCTGGTATCAGGGTAAGCTCTACATTAGCGAATTACTCGCGCACTCTCGCGAGTCTCTTCCTGTCTCTCCGGCGGTGAACGATAAATATACCAGAGTAATTCGAAAATATTGTTCGAAAGGATTCGCGAAAAATTTGTAAAGGAAAACCAATGGAACCGCCGCCCCAAGAAGATCTATAAGATTTGGCATGGCTAAATTTGTAGCCTCGACTCGATTTGAGAGAATCAGTTTTTGAATTTTTTATTGCGTTCAAGACGGAGTCTTAAAAGCAGTCTCGCGATTACAATAATTGCTATTTATTTTCTTTTATCGGTATTCTCGGTGAGTGAGACGACATTCGATCATGGATCAAGGGCTTGTGATTGAAATCGACGAATCCGAGATCCATGCGAGTGCATAATCAGTACTTGCAACGCCCTCGTTAGGAATGTTGGCGAAACTAATCTTGATTTATTTGTGGAAAAATTGAACGGTGGCGTCATCTAGCAGCGAATAAGTATAATTATCGAACACGTCACTTCTTGCTAGACTGATAATCCTAACCTGCGACGACTTCTTCCAAGAGGAATTCAGGAAGAATATTGATCGAAAGTGGAGAAATACTTTAATATAATGAAGAAGATTATTATTAAACAAGGCAGATTATTAAACAAGGTGAAACAAGGCTCATATAATCTCACGGAAAAATTAAAAGCGTAAATCCATTACCCAGTGAAATATAACATAACAAAACCTCTTCTAAGAAAAGTATCTAAGAAATTTTTCGTGAGAATATGATGGATAGCAATCACTGCATGCACTTTGTTGAGCGCAAGAAGCGATTCTGCCGCATGACAGTGCAAAAAGGTCATCAATACTGCGGCGAGCATCAACGGGATCTCGCTGGCTCCAACATCGGGAATGAGAGAGTACCATGTCCGCTGGATCCCACACAGCAAGTATTCATTAAATTCGGTAGATTCTAGTGTGGTATCATGACATTTGTCTTCTTCCAGTACATGCTACAGATCCAAGCTGACTAAGCACTTGGGCGTGTGCAATGTCAAACGAAGACTGGATGCACAGCCGACGTTCGTGGTTGAAGGAACAAACTTGGATGATGAGTCTATTGAGACGCCGCCGCGCGTGCCACTGTCGCAGCTCGACGTATCCATCATAAGAATGGTGATAAGGAAGATTCATGCTGCCTATGGTATGATTAAATTATCTGCATTCAAGCCTCAGGGTTTACATGTAAAATGTAATAATCTACATCTACATGTATGTACAAAGTAAACTATGGAAACTGTATTATATATCATCTATATAAATAATTTATGACAAAGAACAATTTATGTTCTTTATTGTTGTACTGTGCAAAAACTTTCTTGCTTATATATTTTCATTTGTCAATATTAGAGTCAGATATATTAACAATCGCAAAATTTAATTTTTTCAATAATAATTTACATATTTTACATTTCTTGTATTATTTCTTATATTATAAAGAAAATTCATGTGAACTTAACGTAAATAATATGTAAATATTTCATGTAAAGATAATCTTAAAATATATGACACAATCCTGTCAAGTATAATTTGATTTAATTAAAAAATGAATTCATTTTTCATGTCTTTATATATATA